TAATATATGATCACTTAATAAACTATAATTCACTATAAATTATAATCACTAAATAAATTACAGCACTTCAATAGTGTGTCCTGGCTCACTGCTCCAGGTCAACTAAAAATTCAAACTGTCGATCGATAAATGGAAGGAGTATTTTTCGTATTAGCACACCAATAACTTAGGTGATCAGTTGTTTTTATTTCATACTTGAGTAAAATCTACAGAACTCTGAAGTAAACAAAACCGATGACTGAATTCTAGGAAACCTGCGGTCATCATATGTTTATATTACTTTGCCTGTGAGTAAATCTGGCTCTACAAGACTAATCACAAGAAAGTAATTTCTACATAACAGATTCAATAAATGAACTTGAAAACTCTTCAACATTCCTGACGAGGAAATGTAGCATTGGTTCAATGTCAAAATTACACAAAACTAATGTAACAACGCGATAAAGAAGTGACATAAATCTACATGTAATTTTTAATTAGGTCTACAATAGTTTGAACACAAACAACATGTAGTCTTTACTTAAAATTATGTAAAAATTACTTAAAAAAATCGACATAACTTTTTATGCAAAATCTACCACATGATTTTTCTCCGTGTATTATTTCAAACTTACAATAAGCATTTAGAATATAGTAAGATAATTATAAAATCTACTCAATTCTGCTCTATTCATAGGTCATAAACGCCATTAGTAGTGCTGCGTAATCAACTCTTTATCAATAAATCAATTAATAAATTCATTCAATTCTTGAAAATTTTATTTATTTAATTATGTGTCTATGTTGTAATATTCGTTTCCTTCGTAATCTATTTTTCGCATTTTCATAATTACTTTCATTGAAAAATGTTCTTAATAAAAATTTAAACTACACGGAGAAAAAGGAATTTTAAATTTTACTCCAAAAAATAGTAGTCTGTCGCCTGGGGTACAAAAATGGCAATAAGCAATTGTTTGATTAATATACAATACAACTTTTTCTTGTAAAAATTTTATTATAAAAGTAATTTTTTAGTCTGTAAGTAATATTTTTTATTACTGGGAAATTAAAGACTATCATCAAATATCGATTACAGCTGTTGTAACAGTTGAGAAACAAAATAAAAGATTCAGTAAACATTGTTGCTGTTACTGTACAATAAACTTGAATGTTTATACGAAGAATTTCATGTTGTGAACAATATGCACACCAAAAAATCAATGCCACACATAAAGCATAGACGCATTCAATAATAATTCACCAATGAAAAGAATTATCGAATCATCAACTACTATATTAACTATATATAAGTATCACGGAGGAAAAAGTAAAGGGCGAGTGACTGGAATTCTAAAAGTAGTCATAAAATGAGTGCGTAAAAATAAGGACGGTCGACCTGTACAGTAAAATTTATATTACGTTTCCAATCAAAATATTTATGCGATTCAACTTTGCCGTAAAAGATAAACTCCTTTACACGCAAAGTCCATTACAATTCATGTAAATTAGAAGTTGAACATTGATATATGTATAACTGGAAAGCGTTACGAGCCTTAATATTTTTCTCCGTGTAAGAAAAATACATAAAAATCAATAAGCAACTTGCAGGACACATTTCGCAATATTTGTGATGACTTGTTTTTTACAATTATTCGACAATAAATTTTTTCATTATTCAATCATTCGAAACATTTTTTATTTATGATACCTGCAAAATCTATAAAAATCAAGAAGAAACACGTAGAAAGCTTTTTTTTATTATTTATAACAATTTAATTTTGTTATTATTTCACAATCAATTATTTCCTCATACAATCATGTGGAACAACATTTTACTAACAATGCCTAAAAAATCCATTAGAATCGATATTTAGCATGTAGAAAATATTTATCAGTTAAATGTTGCTACTACATACTTATCTAGCATTATATATTATGAGTTTTCAATAAATCATTTCCACACATACATGGAAAATTATGAGCGCAAGAAAAGAAGCAATGTTTCAAGCATAATGTGACAGAGAGTGAAAACAATACGAAAGGCAAACGAGAAGGCACTTGAGGGAGCTCAACGTAAAAGGAAGTGATAAATGACACATTCAGTAAGTGAGAATACATGATGGAGCGCTTGATTAAAAAGCGTGAAATAGCGAGCAAAAATATTACTGTTAGAGGAGTGGCTAATCCGTAACTTTGTTAATAATCAATGGAAAATTCTCATTCAACTCTTAATCGAAAGGCTATAACCTTGAGTGACTATCTACGAAATATAAAAGCTTAAAATGCAGTAATTAAAAAGATAGTTGCATTTGAAGATTCATTGGTGACGTTACATAATATTTTTCATGTATGTTAAAATTAACACATTTCACATCTCCAAAGCGGTCCACTCAATTTTTTGTGTCATTTTAACACAAAGTGTATGTGTCAAATTTTTACACAAAATTTGTGTCAATGATTTGACACACACGAGAACTAATTTAACATAAATTTTGTGTTAATTCGACACGATAAATTCGTTATAATTTTACATAATTATGTATGAAATCAACTGATTTAGAATGTAGAAGTTTATTCAATGAATGTGTTAATTGATAAAAGTAATTTAAACAAATAAAAAATGATTTTTTTTGATTTCATGTATACACCCGTTTAAATATTGCAGGAAGTGCTGATTGTGACCGACACAAATAAAGAATATTCTATTGAGGAGATTCGAACCTACGACCACTTAAAAACTTACGCACGCAACGAAACCGACACCTTAGCCCCCTCGACTATCCAAAACTATTGAAAATGATTAAAATTTTCATGTTTATAAAGTTATCGCAGCTAGGCTATTCTAATACTGTTTATAATATGATATGAGGAACTGTTTCACACCGTAAATAAAATTTTACTATAATTCTAGTAAAATTTTCTTTAATAATTAACTTAATTAGCCAAGTAGTGAAGCCCTGATTATTTTCCTCAGTGTAGTATAATTTAACATACTAAATCAATTAATTTTACATACCATTGTTGAAAACATGTGCACTAAATAATAGTTTTATTAAAATACACTTCTTTTATGTTAGTTGTTTTTTCATTCATTTATTATTGTTATAATTATTCGTATTAATAATGTATTCAGTACACATTGAAAATTGATTTTGATATATAACACAATTTTTGTGTTAAAAATACACAAAAAAATGTACTTCTTTAATTTATTTTTCGTTACACGAAGACTGTGTTACTACTGTGTTGTTCATAACTTATTGACATTTTCATTGTGTTAAATCGAAATTTGTGTCAATACTTTCATTTAACAATAACAATGAATGTTAAATTAACACAGGATTGTGTTGCTCATTTAACACAAAAATTTTAACTACTACATTTTTTTTTACACAGAACAAAAAAATTTTTACTGTGTAGTTGGTAGCCTCGGCGCACATAGGACAAAGAGCGCGCTAGTATAAACAGGAGAGGTGGAAAATGTAAGCTTGGCGCCAAATATCGACCGCTACTTTAGATAAGACTACAAACGACCGTGTGCTTGATTAAGAAATGCTAAACGACGGAGTAAATAGAATTATAGTAGAAATGACCACTTCAAATCAGTTTAGAAGGATGTGAGAATTAAAGCCTTGCACAGCTCGTCAAATAAATTCCCGACAATTTCAGCTTATAAATCCTCAGCCACTTTCTAAGTTTCACGTAGGCACTGAGTCAATTAAAGAACATAAAGAAAAGAAAAAAAATCTAAGTTTAAAGCTATAAAATATAACGAATCACAGTGATTAAATTTGTGCAACATCTTTATTTTGTCAACGAGTGAAAAAAGATCTACAATTTCATATCTCAATATGATTGAAAAATAATTTTTTGATGAATGGAATTTTTAGTATAGTAGCCGTGTGAATTTATCGTGCATTAATTATAGAATGATAATAAAAATTTTTTGGTTACATATTCTAGTAGGAAATAATGAGAAGAGTATTTGCGCAAATTGTTATTACTAGGAAACAATAATTTCTATTGTTTATCGAGTGTCAAAGTTTGGAAAATTGCGTTTTTCCACCTTTTACCGCTTACGTAGCGAGAACGGTAAGATGGTGTATTTTCTACCCTCGCCTATCGGCGTGATGTTATACACGAGCAACTCGAGGACACAAGATGCTGAGTTTGCCACGGTGATGTAGATGAGACGCTATTTTATGTGTTATCGGCTTGTCCGATATTAGCGCGCTTAGTCTACATTTACCGGCATAACACCGCCCTAAGAGTGCTGTATTACCACCTTTGGCACTCTTATGGAATAGACGAGACACCAGTACTGCCCTATATGCCCGGTGAAATTGAGTCAGTCGTTGAGAACGGGAGAGCAAAAATTCTTTGGAATTACCCTCTCTCTACGCCTCAACGCATTGAACACAATAAGCCGGATATTACTCTTTTCGACCATACCACCAAGCACGTATAGTACATTGAGTTCTCAGCCCCGGCTGAGATGAATATACGTGCAAAAGAAGAGAGTAAACAGGAACGCTACAGAGAGCTCATGGAAGTCATGCGAAATGTCTATCACGAATACACAGCGCACGTGATAGTCCTGGTGATTGGCACCTTCGGAGGGATGAGGGACCGCTTTCTGACAGAGCTTCGAACAATACTAGTCTGCCGTAGTCAGGCTGAGATTCTCGCGGCTCGTATGCAGAAAGCGGTCATCCTTGGTTCTCTCCGTATCCTGAGACGTTTGTAAAATTTTGACTGAACGGCTGCAGTCTCAGCTCACCCTCAAACTTGAGGGAGTCGGGTGTCTGCAGGATAATCCTGTCTGGTCAGGCTCCAGGTGGGTCGGAACCCTAGGACCCCTGGCCAGGCACCTTTGACGAATCGCAAGATGATAATAATAATAATAGTAATGGAGTGCAATGCCGCTAAAGGAAAAATGCTTAAAAAGAAAATTAAAAAAATGAAAGCTGGCATCATTTTTGACATAAAAACACTGGAAACTGTTACATATGTCTATTTACCTCGTTTTGAAGCATGGAAGCTGTCTTGTGGTAATATTTTTTCGATCTGAGCGCTGAGTCTTGATTTTGGCAAGATATCCCTGTTGGCGTTGATCTTCTCCACTGCGTAACGAAACGCTACTTCCTGTTTATCGTCGGATGGATGAAATAACCCACCTGGGAAATCATACACTTTATATTAAAGTCTATTATTTCAGAGAAAAATTATTGTTAAAATGATCTACTTATTTTTCCACTTCGTATCCCTTACGGTATTATCACTTATTTTTACTCAAGAAAAGATTCTTTTTGTGCCTAGCGTATATAAAAAACAAACCAATTAATAGAAATGTTAAAAAAATGGGTGCATTGATCAGTTTTCTCTCTCAACAAGTATGCTGTCTTAATGGTTTCTTCTAAAAGTTCTTCCAATCTACGTAAAGACGCTTTTATTTTGAAACCTCTGGATATAATTCTTTTCTATTGTGAAAGTCGTCTCATCTATCAAAGAAATAAACTACATTAAGAAAATTTTTCGTGAAAAATTATTCTTAACTTTGAGTCAACCGCGTGATATCTTTAAAATATAAGAAATATTGCACACTACTACTTATATGGTTGTATTATAAGCTGCATGTTATGCTCGTCAAATAGTTGTGAATATATTGTAAATAGATAATTTTAAGTATTATGTTTAACGGGTTATTATATTTTATGTAAATCTCTAAATGATAAAATCATTATAATGAACTTGAATGTTTATCTTGCCCGAATAATATCCATCTATTTTATTAGATACTAGGAGATTCCTGCGACTTCGTCCATCAATAACCTTACTCCAGAAACCCTATTGCTATGTGATCAAGTGAATGAAAAAAAAAAATATACATGCAAGTATTAATCTCATTAAAAACAGCCTTCTTCTTCTGGGCTGTACAAAAATGTGCGCCAAACATAAATAACGACAATGATGAAATTACAAAAAGTTTAACTAAATTACAAAATATTTAAAATGAATTATTTTCTTCGGTTTTTTTTCTGAAAAAAAATTTAGTGCATTTAATGATGCAATAACCATAACAACCGAAAACTTAGCGTGACTGTGATTTATTAATTGGCAAAAATATTTTCGATATAATCGGAATTTCATGCTTCTACAAAATTTTAACCGTCACGCCAAGTTTTTGGTTAATATTAAAAAAATACAAATTAGTTAGGAAAATAAATTAATTACTTGTATATTCGCGCTTAAGTAAGAATAACTTATGACCAACTTTTCAATCTGTTAGTGAGAGAACTTTATGGCAATCAAAAACTCTGATCACCAACATGATAAAAAAAGACTTATGATTGTTCCATGAATAAACTCTCATTTTACTTAATTTTTTCACAACGAAATTTTTTCCAATTTCGTATATTATGAATGAAGTAATGATGATACTTTATAGTATGCTTAATCGAAAGCCGAAATTTGCTTCCCTTTAAATTTCTTGATTTCAGCCCATGTTTATGATAGAATAAGGACAATATTTTAGTTTAGAAAAGTATATCCTACAAAAATCATCTTATCAAGAGACACGGTAGTGTCTCGTGCGCCAAACATAAATCGCCGCCATCTTGCCCTTACATCACGACGAGGCACCATCGTGTCTCTATACAAATTATAAGACGATTTTTGCAGGTTATAATTTTTAAATTAAAAATTTTTTTCTTATTATAACATAAATATAGGCTGAAATTAAGAATTTTCTCGAAAAGCGATCGTTGACTTTCGATTAAGCATACTATGAAGTATTATCATTGCTTTATTCATAATATACGAAATTGAAAAATTTTCGTTGCGCAAAAATTGAGTGAAATGAGAGTTTATTCATGGAGTAATCATACGTTTCTTTTAATCAAGTTAGTGGTCAGAGTTTTTAGTTGCTATGAAGTTCTTTCACTAACAGATTATAAAGTTGGTAACAGGTTAATTTTGCTCGAGCACGAACATACAAATAATTAAAACATTTTTTGGACAGATTATTTTTTTTTAATATTCCTTTTCAGTTAATTTGTACAAAAAATGGTGAAATCTCATCAAGAACAGCCACGCCAAGTTTTTGGTGGTTAAGTTTATTGTGTCATTAAACGTACTAAATTTTTTTTCAAAAAAAAACCGAAGAAAATAATTCATTTTAAATATTGTTGATTGGTAGATTTAAATAATTGGGGTTCAATGATTTTAGGACTTTTTGTAATTGTTGTATTCCTAATGACTGGACGATATTTTATTTAAATCTATGTGTTTATTATCAAGTAAATAAGTACACAATATTACAGAATATTTGTTGTATGAGCGATTTAGAAGATCTGAGTAGTTCAAATGATAGGTTCTAAGTAAGTCTCTGGATATCGAGAAAAGGAGCTTTATTTTAAAGGCTGATCCGAAGGTCCAGGAGAGGGGTTGAAATCTAGCTTGTAGAGTTAAAGGAAGTGTTTTTATGTAAGGGAAAGTTGGAGAAATCGGGATGAGTCCAAGGTTCATATTTTAGAAATCAGAAAGAACTCAAATATATTACATAAATACCGTTTTCTATTACTTGCCATGAATTCAATTGTAATAAACAATTTACATGAACTAAAAATAGCCGTTTCAGCGATTACTCCGAACAGACAGCGAAAATTTATATTTATCTACACGGAGAGAAAAATTGTATAATTCTTGTAGAAAAAATTGGAGAGAAATTACCATGCTCTTATAATGCGTGCGTGATCAACGACCAAAGTAAAAAATATTATTAAATTGAAACATAAAAAGTATTAGTCATGGCTTTATAAAAATTGTTGTGCTGGCGTGGTGAAATTTAGTGTGCTGTATTACAAAACTTCTTTATCGATTTAGTAAAATTTCTAAGTATGTTCAACAATATTTACACAGCCATGTATGAATTTTTCCATAGCATTATTTTCATTTATTTTTAAATTAGAAAACGGTTGTGATGTGGAAAATTAATTATGTTTTTTGATTTAGGAAAATTAAGGAATCCGTTAGATTTTAATATGGAGAAAACATTTTTATGAATTATTGAATATATCTTTATTTGCATCAAAATCAGTTTTTAAGAATAAATTTCGCACCATTAGATGCTTTTACAAGATTCGTAATCTGAAAGCTAAATAACTCATCCAAATTTAGTACATCCCATGTATACTGATTGTTGTACAATCGATGACATTCAGTTTTCTCGTAAAAATTTTATTAATTTTAATAAATAACTCCACTATATAACTAACACTGTTAACACTTTTCCATTTTACAAAAGTTGAGTCTTAACAGAAACTGATTTAATATTTTTAATTGTTGTCATTTTTTGGACCAAAGAAGACTTAGGAGATGTGTTGTGGAAGTTAGACTATTTAGTATGAACTACTTACCATTTCACTGTAAATAAAAAATAATACCAAAATCAGTTAATTATTTAAGATATGAAAAATAGATGTTATGAATGTTAAATATTAGTTGCTATCGACATTTAAGAAAAAATACTTACGTCGTCACAAAAATACGCACGTTTCTATGTCACTGTATAATATATAATGTATCACTCTTTATTAATAACATAGTCAATTACGCACTGAGGAACAATGAAGGTATTCAAACCTGCTTCGAAAAATTTTGAAGATGCTCGATCTTTTCCGATCTTCGATTCTTTCTTCCGTTAATAGCAAAATGCAAGTTGTTTTAACTTATTAGTAGAATATCTCGAAAACCATAAATCCGAGATCTAGACATAATGCGTATGATTTGCAGAAAATCGTTTTACAAACAAAACGACCCTATATAGGTTTCTCCATGATTAATAGTTAATGGAATATCATTTTTTTTTTGTTTAAACTCATTACCGTGCTCAATAGCGTTAATCCCTTCTTTCCCTTTCTTTCTTTCTACTATAAATAGATATCATTTGAAAAGTTATAAGACAGCATGATAAAATATATTAGTTTGTCTAGGACTCTATGGCAGCTTGAATAGTAATTGTTATAAGAAAAACAATTGGAAAATATTTTCCTGTCGGGAATGGATCTTTTTACTGTGCTGTTTTACAAATTTTACGGAGCTGAATTTTTTAATAGAATATTTTATCCTTCAAATTTTCTACGATTGTTTATAATTTCTATGTTTTTGCCGTACAAAATTGTATAGGTTCGACTTTTACGTGTTGATTGTAGTGCTGAGCACAGTAAGTTTTGTATGAATTTCCTCTCCGTGTACTATTTATTTATAGTACTACATAAATTTTTAGTGTAAAAACAGAATCTATGTAATATATTTAAGTTCTATCAATGCGTAATTTTTTCTTTTGCAAAAATTTAAGCTGAAAATTAGTTACTATTTCATTAAAAGAATAATATAACATCTAATTAAAAAATATATTCACTTCTATTATGATCACTATCATCATCACTAAATTAATTGTCCAATCAATAATAATTTAAATTAATTAACCCTTCATAATTGTAAACATACTTCTTATTTTTCGATATTTTATTTTCACTCATTATTAATTTGTGATTGCACAAAACAATTATTTCTCTTACGCATTGTGAGGAAATGCCCTCACAAGTCTTATACTAAGTATTATTATTTGTTAAAGTACAAAATCAAGTCTGTAAACGAGCGGACCTATATACATATAGATCTAGTTCCTTCGTAGTTAATCTAGTCCGTACGTAAGCCACTAGGTGGTCCCTTGCTTCCCGGAAGGGCGGAAATTGAGTACCTCGCCTAGTAGAGTATAACTTTGGGAAATTATAACTCTACTCTCTTCGCGATGACGTTTCCCAGGACGCGTATACCTGCACCTTAAAACAGGCACAGGGATACACGTAACAAGCCCGAAGCCTTACAACATACCACTACGAGTCCGACCTCAATTGGCCAGTTATACCTAGTCCTACATGTCATATTTTGACTTTGCAGCCCTAGGCACAGGACTTGGAATTTGGCCTCCCGTAGCACCAACTTTATCCGCTCTGGTCGGCGGTCGCTAACGCGTCTCGCGCTCAGCGTGTTCGACGTGCCCACATTCAGACTACCATATAAGGCGGTAAGAAAATGGGGCACGACGAATTATGGTCAATAATCTGCCCCCGTGTTACGCGACATATCTTAAAGGACAGAAACATCTATGTAA